GAAATGCACAATACGCACACACACATACACACAGACACACACAAACACAGACATAGACACAGACACAGACACAGACACACCGACACACAGATTTCGTATATATATATATATATATATATAGATATATAGATATATATATATATATATAAATATATATATAAATATACATGTATATATACATATATATATATATAGACATAAATCGAATACGAAGGCCTTCGGGCTTGCTGTGTGATCAATGGAGCGAGTTTATGGAATGAACGAAGCCCTCAAGCACACAGGATGTGAGATCCTTATCGGTTCGTGGTAGGTAATAGAGAAAAGCAGGGAACTTTGATTCACGAGACTTCTACTGCACCCTAAGACGCTACACTTCTACCTGACTCTAGAATCATTTGGTGATGTCCATACTTTTCTACTTAACTACATCCAATAAAGGTGGTAGGATGATGGGGCCTGCATCTCCCGGCCCAGTCATAGATATGGGCACGGGTAGATGAATTGCAAGCTGTACAGCAGATGTTATATTCACTTGTTGCAGGACTTATCTCCTACCCAACATTACGTGATGTTTAATACAGTACGCCAACATTGATCATCTCATCCATATCAAATGCAGAAAATATATAATAATATATATTCACACACGCCATGCATACCTACGAAACAATGCTTCGCACAAACACAAACAAGTCCATAGCCACACGTACGCTCACACACACACACACACCAGGGGTATCTAAACAACGACCATCTACACAAACACAGACAAGTCCACTTCTACACAAACACAAACAAGTCCATTTCTACATAACACAGACACGTCCATAGCTACATATGCACTCACACATCTACGGCATGTCTATACATTGATATACCCAACACAGGCAGTCTTATGCGTAGCAAATAAATATGCACATACAGTGCTCTCGTGAGCAGGAGCGTCTGTAGCACTCGTCTGCGGAGAGTTGGGCTTCTTGTTGGCCGTAGCTGCATGTGGGAGTGGGTGGCTTACCAGCGGTTAGTATGGCAGCACAGCGCGATATTAGGGCTATGGCTCCTATGACCCTATTTCCGACTTAGGTGCACAGACACAGTCCATATGGCTCGATGGCCCTATCTCTGACTTAGCTTCGTTCACCGAACATCGGGTTTAGAAGCACTCACGCGTCAAACACATACACACATGAACGTGTAGCTTTATGTGTCAATAACTACTATCGTCTGCTCAATGCAGATTGTTCCGACGATACACCTACTTATACGTACCTACTACCACCTACACACACACACCTACACATACACACACATACACCTACACATACACACACCCACACATACACACACATACGTATTTCAGCCCTGACTTGGCCTTCTTTTTGGATGCGCTCCTTCTCCTGCAGGGCCACTTCTGGGTGATCGGAGGTGCCTCCCATGCTATCACCCTTCCCACTGAAGGCTATGTAGAACTTAGGACCGAAGATGAAGCACAGAAACCCCACTGCATGCGTGTACGTGTGTTTCGTGTTTAGGAAGCGAGCGTAGTCTGACTGTAAGCCTTAGAGGTACCACTGCATGCGTGTACGTGTGTGCTATGTTTAGATCACAGGTGTACTGACTGTACACTTCAGAGGTACGGTTCATGCCCTTGCCCTACGCACTGTCCGCCATGGTAGTTATTAGGGCTCTGGTGCAAGCAGAGAGGAAGACAAATGGGACAGAAGACACAGCACAGAAACCCTACCACTTGTTTAATCACTGGTTTGAAATTATATACAGATGAGGCTGGTGTTACATGTGTAATATTGAGTATGTATGGTCAATAGTTGCTCCCCCAGGTCTTATGTCTACACTACACCATTGGGAAAATAATTCATACGACACCATTGGGAATATATTTCATACTACACCATTGGAAATATAATTCATACTACACCATTGGGAATATAATTCATACTGCACTATTGGGAATATAATTCATACTACACCATTGGAAATATAATTCATACTACACCATTGGGAATATAATTTATACTACACCATTGGGAATATATTTCATACTACACCATTGGGAATATGACGCAAACAATTCTTTCTGACACGTCGTGCGACACACGACTGGCGAGTCTCGATGAGTGCAGACAAAACCCTAAAATCCTTGGTATCCTACACCGATGAACGACCTCTTCCGTCACGTTAAACTGAGAGATCTGCTAATAAGTATAGAAGTGCCGTACTGACACACACTTATCGCGTGTGACGGTCGTTTGGATATGAACGCAGATCGCCGAATACGTTCATATACATGTTCGGTTGAGAGGCTCGGAATAGAACAAGACAGGTTACAAAGTGGACAATTCCGAACCTACGACACTTATACGTACACTAGTGCACGTGTATAATCCACATGGCTATATCCTGTGATACGATATATATATATATATATATATATATATATATATATAATAATAATAAATATATACATACATATACATTATATATATATATATATATATATATACAATTTATGAGTGCAGTATTCGCAGAGATATATTCCGTGCTACGTACCTGAAATTGCACATCCGGTGAACGCTAAGATCACGGTGTGAAGGTTACTCGACACATCGCCTATCAGCGCCACAGTCCGGAGTACAAACCAGATGGTCATGTTATATACACTCACACCCACCCACTACGTATATAGCCATTGAGAAGTGAGTACGTATATAGAAATTGAGAAGTGAGTACAATTATGGCAATTGAGAAGCGAGAACGTATATAGCAATTGAGAAGTGAGTACGAATATAGCAATTGAGAAGTGAGTACGAATATAGCAATTGAGAAGTGAGTACGTATATAGCAATTGAGAAGTGAGTACGTATATAGCAATTGAGAAGTGAGTACATATATAGCAATTGAGAAGTGCGAAGGACAGGAAACAAAAACTTCTCCGCGTGGTGATCACGTATCAACGACTAGCAGCCCATCATCTTTGGTCAAGAGGAGAAGAGATAGGAGTTCAAGGGCCCCATTGTTATACCAAATATACACAACAGCAATGCGGCTACCAATCTTACGTGGCGGTGTATGCATAGGGACACCACCCGGCCACACCCCACGTGCACAAAACAACACACACGTAAGGGTGACAGAAACAAAGGATATAAGTAGAATAAGTGGTATGAGTGAGCCTGGTGATAGACTTAGATAGTCTGCATATCTCATACTCATGGAGGGAAGCGCTCGAATTGTCTGAACCAGGCTAAAATATGATAGATTGGTCGGGTAATAAGTGAAGGCGAACTACTATGTGGACCTGATAGCTAGGGCCGTAGAATATATATATATATATATTTGTATATATATACAATATGTATACAATATATATATATATGTATATATGTATATGTATATATACACAACAAATACACCCACATATATATATATATATATACACGTTCACACACACACATATATATATACACACACACACA